TATGTTAATACTAATACTTGATTAGCATATGTACTGCACACATATTACTGATAGCATGGTGTACCCTCAGTTACTTCTTTTTCTCACCTTGGGATAATAGAAGTTGGGTTGCATCTGAAGGCTTGTTCCTTTGCTGTAAAGACCATGCAGCAACTATGAATGATGATTTGTATATAGTAATGTAATGCAAAAATTAAAAATCATGTTTAAAGTCACATTTTATTTTTTCATTTATATTGTAACTAAATTTAAGGTTCTTTGGGTTCCTCAAAAGTAATTTTTATTTTGCTTGGTTTTGGATTATGCTGTTTTCCTATTCCTTATTTATTGATAGCAAGGTTATCTGTATTACTTTTTTAAGGAATGTTGTAAAGTTTCAATCAAATTCCTTCACTTTGTTTTCATTATAAAGATAGCAAGTGATGCTCGTTAGACAAAAATACTAAAATGTGGTCTGTATGTATAAAATAATTATGGAAAAGTTATTGTTATTATTTGAGAATAAATAGACCCTACCGCATAGGAGAAGGTACTAAATGCGCTATTGATCAAAGTTGGGGTGGTTTTTTTGGACTTCCATTGTTATGAAAGTTCTTTGTATGTTTGAGGGTTTACTGTGGGTATAATTGTATATTAGCAGCTCCCTGTATGAAGAAAGCATGCTTCCAAAAGGACTGCTAAATTTAATATAAGGGTTTAGTGATTTGGTTTAGTGCAAGGATTTTGTTGTTCTGTGTCATCCTGCAGATGTTTTTGGGGAAAACGGGATTATTTTGATTTCTGTCTTTCAATGCAAATTAGCACAGATAGTAAATAACTATAATCCAGATAGATGTTCTCTTCTCCTGTCTTACAAATAGTTTTAATGGTAATGATAAGATGTGTTCCAGTGTAAGTGTTCTTAAAATAGTGAGGCTGGATATCTTCATTAGGATGTTTTTCTATACATTACTGTCTGTGCCGTGACTAAAAAGAAAAGCAAAGTTAGGAAATTACTTTGTATAATGAAGAAATATCATTTATAGGTAAGAAACATTTTCAATTCTCCTTCTACCTCTATTTTGTAATGACTGTTTCACAGATTCTGTTCTACTTCTAGATTATCTTTCAATGCTGCTTTCTGTCATTTTTTTTTATACATACTGGTATACTGGGTTGGAAAGCAGTTGTCTACAAAAGCACTTTTAACTGCTTATTATGCCTGCTATATGATATTTGTATGACAATGCCTGGGGCGGGAAGGAAAAACAACAAGAAAAAAAATTCCAAAAAATTGCACACTACCTCTTTACTATTTTTTTTCTATTTGTTCAGACATTTCATAGTCAACTGGTTCCTTTTGGTCAAGTGCCCACATAATTGAGTTTAGAGTGTTTCAGTGCACTGACCTGTAAGGGTTATACGAAAATAGAGTAGAGAGACATTTTCTCTCATGAATAAATTCTGTAACAACAGCATGATCAATCTCTGAAATGTAAACATCTTAATTCTAAATATTCCTCATTACAAGTGGGACACCTTTGTCATTTTGGTTTCAAGTATTTTAAGCATCTCTCTTTGTAATAGTTTCCTCAAAATAAGTAATTCATGTCACACAGGCATTCTGCATCTCAGAACATATTTCCCAAGCAGTGTCTTTCTAAATGTGGAACTAAACTGCAACAGAGAAAGCTGTAGCATAGTTTTATTAATGACCTTGGCAGCAGAACATGTACAGCCTTTATTTATTACATTCATTTTCAGTTTTTCTATTGGCATGTTGTATTATATGGTTGCTCTGTGATCTGTTCACCAATTCTGTTGGGGAACTGGAGATTTTTACCTTAAGATGTTTGCTGTAGTGCCTTGCACCATTCAGTCAACTCCAACCTGTCCTTCACTGTCAATCTCCCCATCTGTTTCTATCTGTATTTGTTTATGTGTAACTCAGAGTAGGCGTTATCACTGTTTTCCTGTTCACAGTTCTCGGTAGTATGAATGTCTTCAATGAAACCAGTGTCTTTTTGTGGTTCTGCTTCGGTAACACCATTTTGTTTGCTTGTACTGCAAATCTACTGTATCTGACCAATCAACTATTGGCAATGCTACAGAACAAAAGCTCCTCCTACCAAATGATTTGGAAAGGTACAAAATATTGTGCATCAAATTGAACCAAAAGTCAGTTCCCATGATAGGTACTGTTATTACTAAGAACATTTTATGTCTACAATATCTGAAGACAATAGAAACTGGTTAAGTCTTGCTCATTTCCAATGTTCCTGCATGAACAGTTAGTTGTCCATATCCCAACCCCATCATTATTCATATGCCTGCTCCTGGCTGATTTTCTGTGTCAAATTCCCTTGCGGACAACATACATTTCCCCTGGGCTTTATTTCTTGTTCTATTCTGTCTTCCCAAGACAAGTCTTTACTAGCATATTGAACCATCAAAGGACAATCATTTTACGTTTAAGTACAGAAGGAAGTGACTGCCCTTCTGTCAGCTTCAGCCCCTCAGATGTTTATTGGAGACAGCAAGCATTTGGAAAAAATGAAGTGGCAACTAGCTATCACATTTTTGAGACCTATCAAATGCCTCAGAAGTTTTTCAATATTGCTGACTTTTATGGTTATAAAATTCCAAGATAGGTAAAGAACTTCTAATAGTCTTGCTTTAATCTGTTCCTCCATTTACTACATGTATAGCTGTAGGATTTCTTTCTTCACCAGCTGTTGTGGTGTCATTATATGCTGTAAGATTTACCAGAGCATAATTGTACATTATACACAATTTTCTCATAAGCTTATATTTGCATGCTTCATAGTGATTCTTTTGCTGGTCACACTATCCTTTATGCTTTAAACTGGTTTAAGACAGATTTATAGTAATGGTACTCTTTGAAGTGTTTGAAACCTTCAATACAGGGATTTAGAGACAACGTTAGGATATGTCTAGCTCTCAAAGAAATCTTTCCCTTTCAATACTGTAGTATTAGATGAAAAATGCCTCTCATAACAAGCTTTAATCATATGAGCTGAATCCCCACAGCAATGATGCAGAACTTCCAGAAAGAAATATAGAGACTTCTATTTCATGATTGTCACATGCCAGCAGTTTGGATCCCAGTAGAATATTCTAAGTGTAAAAATCTGTGGTGTTTCTCTACAAGAATGAAGATACTTATTTTGCAGTCTTATGCTGAATAGTGGTCTTTTTAAAAACAGACTCCTTGAATAGTATCTTATTAAGGTACGCTGTTAACACTATCATTTTCATTTGATATAATTGTTAAAAAGAGATCTGTAAAAAAATGGAACAGATGCATCTTCTAAAGCAGGTATGGAAATGTCAGTTGGATTCAGTTCAAAAATATATCAAATCATGTAAGATGCAATCAATGCGTGAAACCAGTAAGTAGTTTTCTTTGCAGTGAGGAAATTTAAGTGTGTATTTACCATGTTTAAGTAAACGAACTTATTTTAATAAGCATGAAGTGCCTATAAGTTATACTACAGTTTATCTATTGTGTGAAAGTTTTTGAATCAACTATCAATTAATTAACATGTTTTTAAATACGATCTGTGCCTTACCTCTGTCTAGCTTTAGTTAAGCACCTTCATAACATAACCTACAAAAAAAAAATTAGTCCCCCCCCCAGAAAAATTCAAACTTAATATGAATCTCAGTAAAGAGTTTTGTTTGAATCATCATAAAATGGAAGGGACCTTAAAGATCATCTAGCTCAAACCCTCCTGCCATGGGTAGGGACACCTTCCACCTGAGTGATGGATTGTGCTGGCATAGGTTTAGGAGCAAAAAAAGAAGCTAGCTATTCTTCTGCAGTGATCTGCAAAGACAAGAGAGAGTCCAAAGCATAACTAGCATAGGTGGTTAGGGCTCTCCTGTAAGAATTCCGCAATTTTGGCTGGAATATTTTGCACCTTTCTAAACCTTTTTGTATTATGTAACAATGTCAGTCATTAAGCATGTCCACCTTTGCAAGTTGTTAAAGCTTTAGAAAGGCATCGGGAAACTAGTTCTTAGAGCTGCATGCAGAGTACTGCTGTGTTTCATTTTCCTAAAGATAACCCATGTTGAAATTCATAAATAATTCAAAAACTCTTAGAAAAAATATGATTCATTGCACAATATGCAACAGGAGACATGAAAAGTGACAACTTCCTGCTGTTCCAACAAGGAGAGTTTGAAGTTCTATAGTAAACTTAATCATATTTACAGCAGGATGAATAAGTGATTTATTTTCATTGAGGTATTTCCATTTTTTGACAGATTTGCTTAGTCTGCATACATGGACTCCTTGTGTTTGCTTGTATTCATGGAGAGCATTCTGAATCCCAATTGAAGAAATATTTGAATATTGATATTACTACAAGGAAGTTATAGCAGAATAATTGTGTACTCGTCCAGGCATCTAGTTCATGAAGCATGCGTTCAGAATATAAACAGTATTTGGGGCACTCTGAAGCCAGTAGATACTCCTGTCCCTTCAGGACAGTTTTTCATGCTTTAATTCTCACCTAACTTACATACACATGTATTTCTGCAAATACATACCTTGTTATGTATTTCAAAATTTCAAAAGATAAAGCCATCAGAATGTAGAATTTTCAGGAAAACATTTAAATCTGAAAGCAAAGAAAAGGGGAATTATAGCCTTATGCAGAGCAATGGGGAACAGCAGAACTGTGGAAGGAGCCATTTGGCATGGATGCTGCAGTTTACTGGATGCATGTAGTAGTTTGTGTCCAGTCAGATATGCTTTGTGGATATGGATGGGACTGTAAAAAGCTGTAGTTTTAAACTAAAAATGTACTCAGAATGTTGTAAGTGCCATGGCAGAGTACTACTGACTCCTTCCATGAAGCTTATTGTTTATTTGGTGGAATCACTGTTGTCATTCTCATAGCTCTTGAGAAGATGCTGGTGGTCTCTTTAATAGTTTAGTGTGTTAATAGCTGACTTCTATTAACTTTACAATCTTAATTGGATCCTTTTAGATGTTCAGCCAACTGGTCAGGCACACAGTGTGAGAGGCCAGCTCCCAAAAGCAGCAAGTCTGACAATATCAATACAAGTAAGTACTTTAGATAACTACAATTGCTTGTCAAATTTGGCTCAATTTAGAAATTTTGATCTAATAATACTTTAGAATGTGAGTTGGTGTCACGAAAAGTGCTGGTTTACCTGAATTTATTTAAAACAAACCAAAACAAAAAAAAACCCACCCAAAAAAATCCCAGCAACAAAAAAAAAACCAAAATAAAAAAAACCAACCCCCCCCCAACTGTAAATGTAGGGGTGTCTCAATTTTTTGATTGACATTCAGTGTTTCATGAGGTGGTTTAGATGCAAGCCATAAACTATACACTCACTGGTTCAAGGGCTAACCTGCACTCTTCTTGAAGAAAGCATATCAAGTGGCAAGTGCTTGGTGATATCGCTGCTGTGCAGAGACCTAGTATGGGATCTCTGACCATTTAAGTCCTACTGAAAGCACCAAAAATAGACTTGTGAGTAGTTCATAACTTTTGTCTTGGCTGTCTGCAGAGGTTTGAATTTTACCTGCTGTGAAAATCATCCTGAAAGTAAGAATACCTCCAGTCATATTTTTCTTTTAAACGTGCCTGTAAGCATAAAAGGATGGTATTGCTACACTGTTGGCAGTTTAAACTGGACAAGGTTCCCTGTGGTGCACCGAGTATGCTGATGGTACCCTGCTGTATGTCTCTTGGTCACGTTTAACCCAACTGGAGCGATAAAATGAATCACCCTCTATTCAGGTCAGCTTGATGCTTAGACGAAATTTTCCTAGTGATCCAGATAAGTGAAAGAACACAAGCTGGAGATGGGCAAAAAAGCAGCCAGAATCTAGACCAGTATTTCATGTTGTGGGAATATCTCCTACGATTTGGGAAGTGAGTGTTCATCTTGTGCCTGCTCCTAGACCCCAGGCTACACCATGGTCACCAGATGGCAATTCATATATGGTGGGCTGTTGGTCACATTTTTTCTTGAATGTTTACCTGCCAAGACAAAATGAACTCTTTTGGTGTTTTGGTTTGTTTGGGGTTTTTTTTGGTTTTTGGTTTTTGTTTTTTTTGTTTTTTTTCGGGGGTGGGGGTAGGAGGATTGTCTCAAGTTAGAACTTCATCCAGTCATTTACCAAATGTTATCTTAAAATAGCATTGCTGTAATGTTATTTACATACTGAATCTTCATAAGCTGGAGTGAACTTGGGATGCTTCAAGTTTTTATTCAGTAGTACTTTGTTTCGGGCCTCTGACAACCAGACTTGGCTTTCAGGAAGCCTTCAGGCAGAATTCAAGGCATCTTTTCCAATTCTTTATTTAGACTGTGTTTAATGTAGAACAGAGACTGCCAACAGCTTATTTTTTTAACAAATTAGTAACTGTAACTAGTGAAAAACCACCAGTGAAGGATTGTGATATCTAAGGAAATGCACGTCATTCCATATTGGCTTTATACTGAAGACATGCAGTTTATAAGGGCCATTTTTTTATAACATAAAATTATTTGTTACATATATTTCTTTATTGCCAGATACTTGTATTAAAACTGAGAAATTCTTAGAGGGGTACAGTTGCTGACCTTATTTTTACAGGTAGTGTCATTTCAGAAGTTATCTGACAAAATAATGTTAAACCTGTTTTCTTCTTTCCTGTTCTCTCCTCTCCTTTAACATCACTGTCTGATCCGTGCACTGTTTTTCTGCTACATTAAGCATTATTGTAGTTTCCTTGATTGCCTATATCAACATAACAAAATTATCAGGTCCTGAGTACAATGCAGTAAAATGCAGG